CGTGCATTGTCTGCTTGCTCATTTTTCCCTGCAAACTGTGAGATCTCTGAGCAGAGGAAGTCGTGATTTTTTTCTCATGTATGCTGTTTGTTTGCTTGCATTTTAATCTTTGATGCAAAGCAGCAATTCCTGAATGGAAAGCAGAGTAAATGTTTATTGAACTGATGAATTTGCTTCCATCATTGAATCAGAGACAAGGTGTGCCCCTGGGTGAAACCATTCTGGAGGGAAGATTTTCAGCAAGCAAAAATAGGAGATGACTTGTTTTTGTTTTCTTTAAAAAAAATGGTTTTATTCCTTTTTATGCTTAACTGTACTGTCTATTCTTTGCTCCTGAGTGATGAAATAATTCAAACAGATCAAAATGACAGAGAACAGCCATAATGAGTATATACCTCTTCTATTTGTGTTGTGTATAAATAATAGGGAGGGTGGGTAGAGTTAAGGTAGCAGGAAAGTAGCTGTTTAGACATACAAGGAAAACCTACAGTCACTGCCTTACCCACCCCCAGATCGTGTTTTTATAAATGGACTTGGCTTTACTTGGGAGCAATACTGGATTGTGCTTAGGTCTTAAAGGTGTGCCAACAGCCACAGAAGGAACACTGTAGAGCTGGGAGAAATTAGGAGCTTTAACATCAAAACTTTCTTTGGCCAAAAAAATGATATGTTGTTTTTACAATACATGTTACCATTTATTATCTGGAGCATAAGAATGCTAAACAGTGATAGCAAAAAACAGCTAGTTCTATGCTAAAAATAATTGAAATATTTAATCTACCTAAATTATAATATTCTTGTATTTTTTAAAAAGCAAATGATAAAATGAAAAATGATAAGATATTAAGATACATGGAAAGTATCTCCTCCTTCAGAGGAGAAAACAAATGCTGAATCCTGACTACATAACAAGGCAATGTCCTCATATGAACCCATTATCATTAAGATAGGAAGTGTCTCCTACATCCTTCCTATCAGCTTCCATTGCATCTTATTATCATACAAACTCTGCAGTTATTATGTTAGAACTGCTTTCAATTGTGTGCTGACAATTTGTTGGCTCAGAGGGGACTCAGATTAAAAAAAAACAATGAGCCGTTTCAATTACATTTCAACAAAAAAAATGGGACACTGTTGTTTGTTTCTCCCTGTAAGCCAAACTCCAAGGGGCAACTTGAGGATGGAATTTGAACATGAACTAAAGCTGATTTAGCTGTTCTATTTGGCTAGGTCCTTTGATTCAATGCTAAGAGAAGGCTGCTCCTGGGTCAAGTTTGGTTCTAGAAATTTTGAGGAACACAGCTTTGGAGGCAGACCCCTTTGGTATGAGTAAGTTACTTCACTTATCTGAGTCTCAGCTTTTTCATTAAAATAAAAAATGAAGGGGCCTCTCCGGTGGCGCAGTGGTTGAGCGCGGGATTGCGAAGCTGCCCGCAGCCTTGCAGCGCCAGTTCGATCCCCGGCTGCTCCCCGGCCACCAGAGGAGGGTCCCACATGGCGCGCAGACCTCTCCTGCCGCCCGCTGCTCCCCTCAGCAGTGTACTTCCATCCTTCTGCCTGCTCTGCTCCCAGCTCTGGCTCTGGTGAATTCTCTCACCCTCCCGCACTTCTGACTGTACCCAGTGCTTGTATAAATAAATAAATAAATCTTAAAAAAAAAAAAAAAAAGTTGATATTAAAAAATATATATATATAAAAAAAAATAAAAATATGAGCCCATGCCTAATGTTTTGGGATTAAATGAGATATTACACTAAGCATTTAGTCCAATATCTGTACATTGCATAATTCCAATAAATGGTAGCAATTATGACAGTCCCACATTGTGTTCATCAGAGTATAGTTTTAAAATCCTTGGTATTCTCAGGGCACAGGAGAAAATTCCTCCACTCCTCTGGGTTATTCTCAGGATGGTTGTGTAAGCAAATATCAGACAGGAGAAAAGACCACAGTATATTATATTATGGAGAATTTACATGATTATAAATTTTATAGTAAATAGGACCAGCTGAGGTAAGGAATGGGATAGGTGTCAATGAAAGAGGACTGGGTCTCACGCGCATGGCAAAGAAGTGACTTCAAATTGTAACAGGGTGGTCCCCAGGAAAGGGGGAAGTTCCAGGCTTCCTGCCCCACCGCAAGGAGGGTGGAGCTGAGCAGGGAGAAGAAGAAGCTGGAGAAGAGACCGAGAAGGAGGCAGGATGCAGAGCCAGAAGGAGACCTGGAGGCGGCACATGGAGCAGAGAGATGTGAAGAAACTGCGCTTGCCTTTTGGTCGTGGACTGGGTGATGCAGATGTGGGTGAGAGACCCTTGGGGATGTGACAATGGCGGTTTTTGTCTTGATCTTGATCTTGCTCTTTTCCCTCCAGACTTGTTTGGTTGTTTCTGATCCTTTTCTGTGGGTCCCCGCTGGAAAATGCTTTAGACTTGTGGCAGGCTTTGGGGACTTGCTCTGGGCCAATCCCATTTGGGTGGACTTTTACCCATGAGGGGACGGGTAACTTTGGGTGCTTCATTTAGAAACTATATTCTTCGCCTTTCCTGGATTGTTTCCTAATTGTATTGAAGTTCCTTCCCATTAAAGTCTCATATGTTTTGTGTTGATGCGGCAGATGGCAGAACCCATTTAGAGCAGGCGGGTTTGCAGGGTCTGGGGTGCCCCTCTCCCTGCCCTGTAACAAAATGACAAACGCTGCCTCTGGATGTTTGCCCTGCCCTAAGATAGGTTTAGCAGATAAAAAGGTTATTTCTGGAGATGACCCTAAATCTGGATAGTCTTTGGTGTCTGTGGTGATGGTTTATCCTGAGGCCCTTGACCTTAGGACCACAAACCAAGGTGACACATACTGAAAAAGCTTTATCTGGATGTCTTGGGAAAAGCGTATCTGAACATTTTTGGGGAGATGGCGCCTACGGTATCCTGAGTCAGGTCTGACTCTTTACAGAATTCACTGGATCCCCTGGAGGAGCCAGAGGCTTGCTCACCGCAGACGTGGTTGGTCTCTCTCCTATGTGGGCTTAGGTTTCTAGAGAAAACAGAAGATTAGAGGATGTTGTGGAACCAAGTAATGGACTCCCCTATCAACAATATGCTTCCTTCGTGGTCTAGGTGGAATTTGGAGTCTAGGTGGAATTACTTACAATGAGTTCTAGATCTTCAACTTTAAGGTCTGTTCCCCACCCCCATGAATAAATTCCTTTGTTTTCTATTGAGTCTGATTGACTGAAGATTTTGATGGGGAATATTTGTTCTAAGGTTCTACCAGGACCACTCAAAATAGTAGTGATTAATTTTCATTTCTCTCTCACATAAAAGCTAGTAGGTTTTCTATGGCTGGCATGGTGGCTCCCTAGCATCAGGAACAGGGCTGCTTCTGCCTTGCTGGTCTGCTGTCTGTAAGATGAGGCTTTCATTTCGTGGCCCAAGAAGGCTGCTGCAGTTCCCACAACCCCAATCTATGGGATCAAAGAAGGAAAGTAATTGTAAATGAGGTCATAATTCTTCCCTTTATGGGCAAAGCTTAGAAGCGTCTCAAGTCATTTTTATTTGTATCCCATTGCTCTGAAATTAGTCACACAACTACATCGGCCAGGAAAGAATATTTGGGAATATCCTGATTTGGCACTGCCCTGTGTCCAGGTAAAAACTCCCAGAGTTCTGTTAGTACAGACAGAAGGGGACACATAGGGAGATACCAGGCAACCAGCACTCTGCTTTTTTTTTTTTTTTAAAGATTTGTTTATCTATGCATTACACTGGGGTGTAGGCCAGAGGTGCAGGGTAGGGGGGGTGGGGTGGTGAGAGGATTCACCAGAGAGAGTGGGGAGCAGAACAGGCAGATCTATTGAAATATACTGCAGGGGGGAGCAGCGGGCGAGTCAGGAGGGGTCTGCTAGGTCATGTGGGTTGCTCCCTGGCCGGCTGGGGATGGCTAGCGATAGCTTGCTAGCGCTGTCTTTAACCCCTGCCGCCAGGGAGGTCCAACCTGTTCTCTTCTGACACACTAGTTTTACCATCTTTTAAATGTCTTTTATCTCTTTATATTGATGTATCATAATTATTAACCAATATCTTTTTGGGGTGACTAAGATGTTTAGGCTTAATTTTTTTTTTATAAACATCCCGAGTTATAGATACTTGTGGGTGAGTCTTTGTCTTCATCAATAATATGATCCCTTCAATAAATTCCTAATTGAAGAACTGCTTAAGCAATTGTTAGACAATCCAAATTGCTCCCAGAAAAAATTCCCCCTCCCCACCCCGTCATGAGAGTGAAGTGTTCTTTCCTTATATCCTAGCTGGGTCAATTTGGCCGATGAATGTAGTATCTGATCTTAATTTGCATCTAAAAAATCACTAACAGGAAATCTTTAATTTCTGTAGTTATTGATTATACAACTTACCCTAATTTAGTTAAAACTTTTAAATGGTATAGGATATATGCAGATTCACATTGAAAGATCGTTTCCAGGCCTCCCTGGTGGCGCAAGGGGTTAAGCATAGCACTGTGAAGCTATCCGCAGCCTCTGCAGCATGAATTCATTCCCCACCGGCCAGGGAGCTACCCACATAGCACCGCAGACCTCTCCTGTGTCGCCCGCTGCTCCCCTAGGCAGTGTATTTCGGTAGATGTGACTGTTCTGCTCCACACTCTGTCTCTGGTGAATCCTCTCATTCCCCCACCTCTGGCCTGTACCCCAGTTCTTGTATGCATAAATAAATCTAAAAAAATAAAATAAAATCGGCCAATGTTATTGCATGCTGCACAGCCCAAACCATGCTCAGAAGGCTTCTCCTGACAGTTATTTCAGCTGTGTCTGCCCCTCCTCCTCTCTAACCAGAGGCTTCAACTTCAGCCAGGAGGCCGGAAAAGCTGCAGATTCAGACCTAGTAGTGTCTTTTACCATTATCCTTGCCACGCCCCCACAAACACACACACTCCCCCCCCCCCCCCCCCCTTTCCAAGGCTCAGTTCCTGCTCTCCCAGGAATGGCCTTGAAAGGGAATGATACACTGGATTCCTCTGGACAGGGATGCTGCTGCTTCACAGGACAGTAAGGGTCTTTTTTTTTTTTTTGCATTGGGATCTTTGATGGTCTGGTGAAACCTAGAGACATTTCAGAAAAATATATTTTTTTTTTTTAAATAGAGGCATGTTTTATTTATTTATTTGTTTGTTTGTTTGTTTTGTTTATACATGCACTGGGTACAGTCAGAAGCGCTGGAGGGTGAGAGAGTTCACCAGAGCCAGAGCGGGGAGCAGAGCAGGCAGAAGGACCGAGGTACACTGCTGAGGGGAGCAGCAGGCCGCAGGAGAGGTCTGCGCGCCATGTGGGACCCTCCTCTGGTGGCCGGGGAGCAGCTGGGGATCGAACCGGCGCCGCAGAGGCCGCGGGCAGCTTCGCAACCCAGCGCTCAACCGCTGCGCCACTGGGGAGGCCCCAGAAAAATATTTTTTAATGTATAGAATAGCATATATAAGATCACAAAAGAGGTCAATGATCTTAACATACAATTTTGAACATACTTTAAAAAGCAAATTGGTGGTAAAGAAATATATGTACCTTTTCATTTTTTAGATAATAGGACCTCGCAATGGATTTAATAGCTACTGTCATTTCAAAGTGATGAGGGTAAATGCTGTCTCATGGTCTCTATAACTTTAATTTGATAAGAAAATATCTGTGATTTCTGCAAAGTTACAGGCACTGCTAAGCCTGATTGGGCTTTTATCTATATTTATATTTGAAAGGCAGCGTCAATGACAGGCCTTGGTGAAATCGCAGCTCTGGGATCTTGGGTAAATCCTTTCATGTAAAATGGAGTTTATTGGTTTGCTAGGCATGCTATAACAAAGAGCCACAGATTGAGGGGGCTTAAACAACAGAAATTAATTTTCTTGCAGTTCTGGAGAGCAGAGATTCAAGATCAAGACCTCCTTCTCTGGAGGTCTCTCCACTTTGCTGGTAGGTGGCTGCCTTCATTCTGTGTCCTCGCTCTGTGTGGACATCCCTGGCATGTGGGCACGCACACATGTGCATGTGTGTGTGTGAGTGAATATGTGAGTGGGTGTGCGTGCATGTGTATGTGTGTGTGAGAGTGAGTGCATATGTGAGTGGGGGTGTGTGCACATGTATGCAAATGTGAGTATGTGTGCATGTGTATGTGTGTAAATGCATGCGAGTGATTGAGTGTGTGTATTGTGAGAGTGAGTGTGTGCATGTGTGTGGGTGTGAGTGTCCTAATTACCTTTTCCTCCCAGGACACTAGTAATTTTGGATCAGGGCCCACCCTAATGACCTCACCCTACCCTAATTACCTCTTTAAAGGCCTTATCTCAAAGGAGTCATGCTTTGAGGGTTAGGACATGGACACAGGAGTGGGGGCGGGGCACAATGTTGCCCATGATCCTGGGGATCCTCTGTTCGCTCCTCTGGCTCTTGGCATGGTTGAGAGGCTGTGCCTTAGGAAAACTGTAAAAGCCTAAGTTGTACAATTGTAAAGATCTAAGTATTAGGAACTGAGAATAGGCCTCTTATTGGTGAAGTAACCCTACTTTTCCTCTGTGACCCAAGGGCTTGATGAGTAACACTTTGTGCTCCATCACACCTAACTAATGTGAAGGCGGATTGGCTGTCAGCATCCCCAGTGTAGACTGAAAGGGAACCCCAGCAGGTGCATCCTGCCCAACAATTATCCATCCCCCTGCCTGCTTCATTTAGACACAGCATTTCCTTCCAGGTCATTCATTATCTCAGAAATCAGGATTTAAGTGTTTGCCACTAAATGCCAGCCCAAAGACTTTTGTTGCCATTTATTCAGCAGGGGTTACAAGAGAGACCGCACTGGTTTGAGAAATTGAAGTGTGTTATTAGCTAACACAGCAAGGCAGGAAGTGGTGGCTGAAAAACTCCAGGAGAGATAAGCACACAGATCAGATGCTGGGAGGAGCTGAGCTCGCCACTCAGCGCAGGTCACCTTCCCCTCCTGCCCAAGTTGCAGAGATGAGACAGGGTTGAGGAAGGTTGGGGGAGAGGGCTGATGAGCCCTTGTTTCTGTGCAAGCCCGATGCATCGTTATTAACAACTCCCACAGACAACGCTCAGTGAAGATTTGACCTAATTGACAAGCAGGTGGAGAGTCTGTTCTGCTTTCCGTTCTAGCCAGACGATCACTGTGTGTGTGTGTGTGTGTGTGTGTGTCTCTGTGTGTGTGTGTGTGTGTGTGTGTGTGTGTAGGGAGTGGGAGGAAGGTCATGGTAGGGAGCAGGAGGAAGGTCATGCTGTGTGTGGTGGAACAGAAACCAGAGATTGAGAACTAGAAAAAACCAAGAACAGAGCTGACAGTGTTATAGAGCAACCCCGATATTAAACGGGTTCCTGGCTGTGGGTCCTCACCCGCGCGCTTTAAAGGGACTTATGAATACTCTACTACAGACACACACAAAAGGGTTAATAAAAGGTTTATTTACAAGAGGAAAGGAAATAAGGAAAATGTACAACTCAGGGGAAAAATAGGGAAATAAAGTCTTTAATGCGTCCTACCCGATCCGACGACCTGGAAACCCAAAGTCACTCCCAGAGCTGGCCGGAGGCTCCGCGCTGGCCGAGCGCCCCAAAATGGAGAGAGCCCCAAAGCCCACGTGTCTGCCTTTTGTATCCACCTGGCTGCTTAACCCCACCCTCAGGTCCCAGCCACCTTCCCTTTGGTGGTGATGGGATTTGGAGTTCCCAGTGTCTTTGGCTTTGACCTGGGGTGGGGGTGGAGTCCACAAAGCCTGTATGGAATTAGCTTTGGGACCGCCTTTTCCCCCTAACAACAGGATTGGGTGACTTGGTTCACAATGGGCTTGAAAACATGGCATTCGCTCGTTCCCAGGGGCCATGAAGGGGCTCGTTGATTCCTTTTGATGTCCTTTTTGGAGTCAGTGGGTTTGGAGTGCAGAGTCCTGGGGTTCACTCTGGGAAAGGTTTCACCAGCGCTCCCCTTTCAGCAGTGCAGGACGAGTTTCCCAGGTGAGTTTCTCCAGGAGACAGAGATGATTTATTTAAAAGAGCAGGTTTATTAGAAAAAGGGACAGAAAATGAAGACACTCGCATAGACACAAGCAGGCAGAAAGAGCTGCCCCAAAGGGACAGGTTTGCTGAGAGAGGCCTGCACGGCTGCAGGCGGGCGGCCTTGAGGAGAGCGGCCTCCGCTGAGGGAGGTCAGTGAAGAGAAGTCCCAGCATGGCGCAGGTCACTGGCAGGCAGGAGGCTGCTGCCCTGCAGAGAAGAGAGTTGGTGAAAAGTGGCACCTGCATAGTCACAGGTGGGCAAAGGATGACTGCCCCTTTGTGGGGGCAGCATTACGTTGGGTTTTTTTTTTTTTAACTTCTTAAAAAGTAATTTTATTGAAATTCAGGGTTAATATTTTTTAGCTCAGTATAGAATTTTATATTTTTATTTATTTATTTATTTTAAATAGAGGCATTTTTTTATTTATTTAGTTTGTTTGTTTGTTTTGTTTATACATGCACTGGGTACAGTCAGAAGCGCGGGAGGGTGAGAGAATTCACCAGAGCCAGAGTGGGGAGCAGAGCAGGCAGAAGGACCGAAGTACACTGCTGAGGGGAGCAGCGGGCGGCAGGAGAGGTCTGCGCGCATGTGGGACCCTCCTCCGGTGGCTGGGGAGCAGCCGGGGATCGAACCGGCGCTGCAGCCGCGGGCAGCTTCGCAACCCAGCGCTCAACCACTGCGCCACCGGGGAGGCCCTCAGTATAGAATTTTAAATAGAAGAGGGGAAGCAGGAAAAACAGCATTTTGTCTTGATAAGAAGCAGTATCGCTTCTAAAGTACTCCTTATTTATTAAATATATGTTCATTATCTGTTTAATAAGATTCTTAATATAACCATTCTTGGTTTTTTCCTGTCTTCTTTTTTTAATTATTATTATTTTTTTAAATTTTATGTAATTTTTACATCATTTTTGTACAATGTATGCATTTTCATCTTGGTTATAGTCCCCATACAATTCCCACCCCCCTTGTTTTGACCTTTCTCCCTCCTCCCCCCAACCCCAGTGTGTCTCTGGTTAATCAAAAAAGATAGGGCCTCCCCGGTGGCGCAGCGGTTGAGCGCCGGGTTGCGAAGCTGCCCGCAGCCTCTGCAGCGCCGGTTCAATTCCAGGCTGCTCCCCGGCCACCGGAGGAGGAGGGTCCCACATGGCGCGCAGACCTCTCCTGCCGCCCGCTGCTCCCCTCAGCAGTGTACTTCAGTCCTTCTGCCTGCTCTGCTCCCCGCTCTGGCTCTGGTGAATTCGCTCACCCTCCCGCGCTTCTGACTGTGCCCAGTGCTTGTATAAATAAATAAAAATAAATCTTTAAAAAAAAAAATTAAAAAAAAAAAAAAAAAAAAGATAAGCTCATGCCATTTGCAGCAACATGGATGGAGCTGGAAGGGCTCATGCTCAGCGAAATGAGCCAGAAAGAAAAAGAAAAATACCAGATGGTCTCACTCATAGCAGGAATTTAGAAAACCTAAATAAAGGGACCAGGAAAAAGACTAATTATAATAAAGTAAAAATCAAAATCAACAAGCATTAGGTTTTATTGTCTTCTTTATGTAGGAGGGCTCGTCTTTGTGGATGGATGGTTTGTACCTTAATCCCCATATCTTCACTTTCAAGTCTGTGCTCCTGACCCTCCCTATGGCATCTGATAGTTTCTATAGCTGGATTAATGGCTGTCTTAATCCCTTCTATCCCCACCTCCTTGTGTGAGTCTTGTGATGCCCCCTTTTCAATTTTTTTATTCTTATCCTCCATCACTTTTGCAACTTTGCCTTCCTTCACTGCCTCAGGCCTCTCAGCTCTGTGTCGCCAAGATGGATGAATGAAGTGCTTGGTCCCAAGAGTCAGAGAATAGAAGAAAGACAAACCCTCACACAGACGCAGTACTAATGTTTATGTCATCAACCCAGTGATAGCTGTTGCTGAAAATACCGCCGTCTGATTTCAAGACATGCTGATCTGCTATGGGGGAACATTGCTATTTCAGCAGTCCATTTATTCAGGAAAAAACTCTCTAAGATGGCAGCTTCACACATGTCTGGTAGACTTGCTTCCCACATGCTTCAATTTTGAGAATCAGTGCTGATAATAATGGGGATTTTGTTCAGTGCTATCATGTTAATATTTCCTAACTTAGTTAACGTACATGGCCTATATCATGTAACATGCTGCATGTTACATGGTCCAAACTATTGGGAGCCATGCTACTCATGTCGTCTGACAAAAGTCCGGGCTTGGGGCGGATTTCTGAAAAATCAGGAATCTCGTTAGCTGACTCCAAGATTCTCCTCATTTGTTTATGGCTAGTTTCTACCATTGCTAAAAATACGCATTTAAAAGTAAAACTGCAAATACTGATCAATTACTGAATAACCAATTTGATGGCAAATGGCACTGCATGATACAAATATTACATTTTTTATAAAATTAGTCCTTCTCTGCCAAAAGGCAGTCAACATTTGGCCTTACATTAACAAGTGAAAAAACTTCTGGGAACAAAAGGCTGTAAACATCCCTTGGCCAAGTCTTTAATATGGAGATGTGGTCCTTTGAGGCAAGAGCTAATTGGAGAAGGAAATTCCATTACTTTAAAGATAGTTGGGTGGCAGACGTGATCCATGCTCCAAGTGTAAGAAAATTCCTGATGAGCCAGGAGGGGCCATAGCTAACTCCTGCTAAATTCTTCCTGTTTGTTTAGGGCTGATTCCCCTGAAGATGACAATTGGTATGGTAGCTGTTAGAGTATGCATTCAAGAATAAGTCAACAGCAATTTTATGACTGGTAGAGCTAAAACAATATAGATAATAATTTCTAAATAAAAGCCTTCTGTTTTTTACTTTAATCAATTAGTTATATGTTGGTCTAAACTTTGTAGGTTAGTTAGAAAAAATTCCTTTGTCTCCCTTCCCCCAGGT